ACTCTATTTCTGACTTGAGGCATAGGGCAGAGACGGAGCTTGACACCTATTTGGAGTGTCTCATCTCACAGTCTGGGAAGGTACTTCCCGAACTGAGCTCGATAGGCTGCTGGGGCCTGGTGGATGGAGAGATGTTGGCAGCCAAGGCCATGCAAAGGAAGCTTTTTTCCTTACCGGAGGGCATTGCGCTTGTGCGCGAAGACGGGTCTGCGGCAGTATGGGGCTATGCCAGGGCGGTTACTGGGGCCAACGCGCCGCAAATAGCGAGTGGCGTTCGGCAGGTTGCTGGTTCTGCGGGGGCTTTAGCATTTATGCTCTCTGATGGATCAGTGGTGACATGCGGTGATGCAGACTATGGCGGTGATAGTAGTGCTGTTCAGGGTCGGCTCTGCAATGTGCTGTGGGTCCAGGGCTGCTATGCTGCCTTTGCGGCAATCCTGGCAGATGGATCTGTTGTCTGCTGGGGCTCCAGCAATCATGGCGGGGATTGTAGCACAGTGGAAACGCAACTTCATGGCGTGCAGTACGTGCGCAGCTCTCTACGAGCTTTTGCAGCTGTCCGGACGGATGGGTGCGTGGTATCCTGGGGTCATGGTCGCCACGGTGGAGACTGCAGTGCGGTGCAAGGCCAGCTCCAGGGGGTAAGAGAATTGCATGCTGCTGACGCCGCCTTTGCTGCGCTGCTTTCTGACGGCTTGGTGGTGACATGGGGCTGTCAGCACTCAGGAGGGGATAGCTCCCTTGTCCAGTCTCAGCTCACTGGCGTTCAGGCCATTTCCTCCACGACTTCAGCCTTTGCTGCGCTCCTGTCAGATGGAAGCGTTGTTACCTGGGGCGAGGATGACTTTGGAGGTGACAGCAGCATGGTGCAGGCAGATCTGCAAAATGTCCGTATGTTACATGGTTCAGGCGGAGCTTTTGCTGCTGTAACAGCACAGGGCACCTTGGTAACCTGGGGACATGAAGATTGTGGAAGCCAAAGTGCCGAGGTCCAAGTTCAAGGGCCGAACATCCAATCTTTGCATGCTACGGCTGGTGCATTTGCAGCCATACTGCAGGATGGGTCTGTGGTGACCTGGGGGGCCCAAGACCATGGCGGGGACAGCAGTGCAGTGAAAGAGCAACTGCACAATGTGCAGCAGCTTGAGGCGGCATTTGGTGCATTCGCTGCCCTTCTGGCAGATGGCGCTGTTGTAACTTGGGGCCAGCCAATTCACGGCGGCGGAGTAACTTGGGGCCAGCCAATTCACAATAGAGCTCAGCAGACGGCCTGCAGGCGGCAAGAGAGTGGATTCTGATCTTGCAGTGCAATATGGTCTTCGCGACTTCTGCACAAGAACCGCATCATGATACTCACGGGCCTTCTCTGCTTCACATCTCTGGCCAAAAGCGCTACCATCTCCATTGTCGGTCTTGTGCAGAGCTTTTCGTACCCTTCTGAGTGTCTGGAGCCTCGGCTTTGCCATTTTGCTTGCGGACAATCTAGCTTGGGGACTTCACCAGTGCGGTCTCAAATCATGAGGCCAGGAACTTGCAAGGCTGTCGTACACGCCGTCCTGTCTAATGTAGACCCCTGATTAATTAACCCGCTCCCCTTAAAAGGTGATGATAATACGGATCCTATAAGGCCCCTGAAAGGAGGGGGTTTATTAATCAGGGGTCTACATGAACCATTTTCGGTGGACATCAGCGCTTTAGACCGAGCCTTGCTACATGAACCATTTTCGGTGGACATCAGCGCTTTAGACCGAGCCTTGCAAATTCAGAAAGACGCGGACAAGGGGTCTGTGCCTTCCAAGCTTTGACTCCGGTCTTTCAGAGTGAAACTAGGGGTACCTGGGAGGGTCCTCATAATAAGGATTCTAGTATTTGTGGTCCATATTGGCATTCCCCTTATTTTGGGAACCTGTCAATAGAAGACGTCCGTAGACACAAAGCAAATTTAGGACATGTGTAAGTTGAAATCATGTTCGCCTTCACGAAAATGCAGATTGTCCACTTCAAGAAACGCCCACCCTCCACCCCACCCTCCCCAAGCACTGGGACCCAAGCCTCCGCAATCAAGGGTATCGAGGTCCATCAGCTGAAGCTCCGGCAGTACCAGCCGGTAATAGTACTAGCCAATAGCTAACGGTTGGTATTTCCTGCGTTTTGGCAGGTTGGAGCAGTTCTGGCGTAATTGTAATTATGTTCTGGGATCTGGATTTTGCAGTTATGCAGGGGGTTATTCATATGAGGTCAACATTCGTGCACCCAAAGAAGTGTATAAAAGTGTTTGAAACGGCCCGAACACTTCACCTGCGAGAAACCCTAAACCTGATAGGTTCTTTGCCCGGTAGGTGTAAAAGAGGCGTGCAAAAAACCTAAACAACCGTTGCGTGCAAGACATGTGCAATTGAACCTTTGTTTCAAATGTTTCAACTCTCGCAGCATTCGTGGTGTTGCATGAGCCCCCCATACTGGTTCCCAAACGTCCAGCCTGAGCACTTTTATTAGGGGTTTAGGGTCTAGGAAGGTCTAATCTGGGCTTTGGGGTTGTCAATCTCTCTATTTGGGGTTCAAAAAAAAGGCTTGGAAACATACATAAGATGCTCAATGATGCTCTGGAAAAAGGATGATGCCTCATGATGCTGCGAGAAAAACTTTTGTCCACAAAATAGTTTTTTTGAAATGTGCAGTGCTCTGCTTTTTGCAGAAATACATTTAAGTGGTCCATATATAATATACACATGTAGAAGCATGCCTCGTATGACAAACACACATATACACTTACACCAAACAAGTGGGTGTGTGTGGGCGTGTTCGTGAGGATGAATCCTTGTGAATTTTCTGAATGCTTGCAGTTGCACTGGTGCCCTGGTGCAATTTGCTGCTCAGCATCCACAGATTGCCGTGGGGAACCCAGTCCGTCCAGCTAAATGATGGCGCAGTGATGGCGTGCAGACTAGAGATTGCTTAGATTGCTGAATTGTTTGAGATGTGCTGGTGAGCACGTCACTAAATTAGACAAGTGCAGGCCATCACATTGGCCCATGAACAAGCATGGTCTGTTGGAGCGAGAGGCTTCGTGGCAAAGTGCCTTGGTGTTCTTACCCACTTGCAAGGTACGAGTCGGTCACGACGACTGGCGGCACTGGCTCAGGAGTTGCCGCCATGTCTTGCGTTGGTCGGGTTGCGTGTCTTCAGAGAAGCCAGCCCAACCGCATCCACCGATGGATGCCAACCCAGTTGTATGCAAAGGTGATGAATGTGCCAGTACTTTCATAGCGTGCAGTTGAAAACCACCTCGGCTTGCCATCGCCAAGCCGAGCAATCAACAGCGTCTGTCAGGCGACTGGACCAGCACTGGGATCCCAAAGATGCTAGCACCTCAGTTTTGGCCATGTTTCGTTTTGCCGCTCCTGATTGGAGAGATCTCGATACGGTTGGAAATTCAGAGTAATGCAGCAAGTGGTTACAAGTCCATGCCGCTAAGATGTATGTACTTGGAGGAACGGCACCATCTGCTGTCCATCAATGCGCGACAGCTTCGAGACCTGGACAAAAACATCGGAGAGGCCGGTGCTCTTGTTAAAATGAGCATTCCCGCCGTTGCATGCGCAAGAACGGAGGCCATTCCAGAGAATTACCGCATGGCGTCCGCGTCTGAGTCTTGCAGGGCTGGTGGACTGTACCAGTTTGTGCCCAAGAAGAGATGCATAAAATGAAGCGGAACCGCTGCGACGGGTCTTACGCACAGAGTGGGGACCGCTCTCGTCCAGTTGTCCGTAACCGTAATGTAAATTGGTCTCGTTGGAGTGGACCTCAACACATGCAGAAATTCTGCGTGAGCCCCAGTCTATGTGCCGCATCAATCCGTGTCACGTATAGCTTTCGAGACAAGTGCCCACCCCTTGATGATCTTGCCGCCCTGTCAAGGCTTCGCGGCACGCTTGGTGCCAGCGGTATATCTGGTGGCGCACCCACCCGAGGCAACTTGCCCATTGAGAGTCTTAAGCTGGTTGAGGATGTATTTGGACACATGATTCGCTCCAGGCTCTGTGCAGCCACCCGCGGCGGGGTACCCCATTGTCAAGGAGGCCTGGATGGTCTGGGTGCTTTCAGTGCTTTCAAACATCTTCTGCCCGCCACGTGGCACACGCAATGCTGTGATGGGTCCTGGCGGAGGCCGCGGCAAAGCGAGGCCTGGCAGTGTTGACAACCACTACCCGGAGGTGTAAGGAAATGGGGGTTTCTCAAAATTAGGGGTACCATTTTGGGGGTCCCCATTATAAGGACTATAGAATATTGGGGTCTATATTGGGGTTCCCCCTATTTTGGGAAACTACCAAATGATTTGGTACATTTTGAACGTCCGAGAGGGAAACCTGTAGATCTCAAAGGAGTGGGCCAAATGATTTTTGACGTCAGGGAGGTGTCAGCTGGAGGGGGTCTGGTTGAAACAGGGATTAGACAACACGAGAACCGTATATAGTGGGATAAGCCTCTTGTGGGCATACTCGTTACGATAGACCGTGGTAGGGTGAGCGCCTCTGATGTGCGAAGAAGGTAATAATCTTGCGTCTGACTCTCGCTCGGTCATGCGTGAACTGCAAGAGTTTTGCCCCGTTGTCCCCTTCTGAAGCACTGGACAGGTTTGGATGCAGAACCCGTCCGTCAGACCTTCTACTGACAGGAATCCAAAAATGGGCGACTTGTGCAACAGTTTGCAGCGTGTTCGGCAGCATGGGTCAAAGGATGCTGCCTTGGCTTAACACTGGGGCAGCAAGAACATTCCTCTAGAGCAATCCTAACACCAGGGCATTGAAAGCTTCGAAGCTAGACAGGATGATGTACCGAGGCCGGAGTTCTTCCTGCCCACGACATGGAAGAGGCGAGAGGGCACAATCGTGACAGAGCGTCGCATCTTCACACTGCGGGCTGTGCATCAGCTGGGCTAGAAAAATGGATCGCAGCATTTGCAATCAAACCAGCTTCCTCGGCCTCGCTGCGCACATCCCATGGCTGAGGCCATGCAGTCAGTAGCACGGCCAGTGCCCTTAGGAGAAGTGTCCCTCAAGCCAGAAGGAGTGCCACGCAATTGCCCAAGTGATGGCAGTGAGTCCTTCCGCAGCTGCGATAGCAGTCCCAGCAGCACCAGCTCTCCCAGCACTCCGGCAGAAGAGAGCGCTTCTGAGGAGCCTTCAGACATTACTCAGACCAAGCCAGTGATTTCAGAGCAGGAGTTGCAGGCAGTGCTTGCTGAGTTGGATCGCACGTGGGGTGATTGCTGCGGCCTCTACGTGCACGGCTCGACGATCTTTGCCAACCAGCCACCTCACGACCTGGACTTGATTGCCGTTGTTGATCACGCAAAGCAGGAAGTGCCGCAGGATTCACCAGACTCACAGTTCACCTTGGGGCGTTGTGAGGTGTCTGTGTATGAGCGTAGGACTTTTCTTGAGAAGCTTGAAGCCATGGACTTGACCATGCTGACCTGCCTCTCAACCCCAAAGCGCTTTGTGCTGAAAGAGCTCCAAGACGCGAGACTTCGCGATTTCAAGCTGGACCTGGCCGTGCTGGAAGAGTCTGTTGTTTCGTATGCAGAATACACATGGATGAAGGCGCAGCGTGTCTTGAATGAATGGAAGGACCCCTACAAGTCGAGCAAGAACGCGTACTTCGTATTTCGAGTGCTGGAGTTTGGTTGTCAGCTTGCTGACCACGGTCGCATTGTGAATCTCAAGGCCGCCAACCACAAGTGGGACGTGATCAGGCCAGGGTTTGCCGGGTTCCCGAAGATGTGGTAGTTTCCCTAAATGGCTGTTTCCAAAAATTGCGCGTCAGGAATTCATGAAAGGGCGCAAGTTTGACCCCTCCGCTACATACCCCGATGGATACCTCGATGCATACCCCGATGCATATTTGCAGGACGTCCCTTTCGTCAAGAGCCCAGCACTACGAAACATACCCCCGAAACATACCTCCGAGACATATCCCAATCCAAACATGCTTTTTTGACCACAGTTTAGCCGGAAACACCCAACAACGGGGACCCAAACAAAGACCCCGAATTATGATCCTCCTTACTAACGTATGGGGACTGAATGAAAAAGGCATCCCTAACTGTACGCCCCTCCCCCCTATTTGCCCGCGCCAAATGCCTGCTCATCGGAATGTGCTGCATATAGCAGTGTTTTTGTGGTTGTGG